AGGGGAGGGGAGGGGAGGGGAGGGGAGGAGAGGAGAGGAGGGAGGGAAGGAGATACAGGCACGTCGGGGGTAGTGCAAGAGGTCGGGAGAAGAGGGAGGGAAGGAGATACAGGCATGTCGGGGGTAGTGCAAGAGGTCGGGAGGGAAGGAGATACAGGCATGTCGGGGGTAGTGCAAGAGGTCGGGAGAATTTACATTAAGACCAAGGTAGCAGAGGCTATTAGAGGGAAGAGCAGAGCGTCAGTCTTGGAAATGACTTCAACTTGCGGAGCTTGTCCTGTTGTGTTCGGAGCCGCTTTAACGTTTAGCGAAAACATGGAACCCAGGTAGATGATGGGGACAGTGTAGACCAGCATCTGTACTATTACTGGCACGGCTATTATGTACTTGGACAGGAGCATGAAACTCAAAAGCCCCAAGGTCACATACACGATCCCATTCGGTCGCAGGTCGGCAGCCTCTTCCTTAATGCCCCGAAAGACCGCGCACAGGGCTTGTTTCATCTGGCGTAATAAAAAGTGAGTGCGACCCACTGAGGAAAACCCCCACGATGTACGCAGCGGCCCCTGATGACAACTGGTATAAGCCCATTAACATTTTCGACATGGTCGAGCTCACGATCACCTGCCCCGCTTTTTCCGAGTTCTTGCTCACAAGGTAATCACCAGACGTGGGGTACATGAACGTGTCTTTCCGCACAAGGGAGTGTGTGCCTACCACAGGGTGCGAGAGTGTGGGGTTCCATCCTTTCGGGGGTTCCTTGTTCCCGCTGAGGGTTGTTCCCGCTGAGGGTTGTTCACGGTGCGCCGTTCCGGGGCAAGTTAATTCTTTTGGCTTAGTAGTCCTCAGGGCGCGGGTTCGAATCTCAGCTTTGGCGGTGCGGATTACGGCGGCTATTTACGGTTTGTGCGGCGGGTTGGAGTACACGCAGGTATCACACTGTACAACCTGCACCGTGTGTTGTGTTATGTATGCGGTTACGAGGAACGGTTATGCGAACAGGTATTGCACTTGTGGAGTTTGCCGAATGCGGAGTCGTACTATGCGAATGGTGAGAAGTTTCGGAAGGAGGCCCGTCGACGCAGAGAAAAGATTTATACCGACAAGACTATCACGTTGTCATCCTTCCTGCCCCCGAATCTGGTGCCTGCCCTCTGGCATAATGCTTGGACCGGCCATTGGCCGTTGGCCCCCTGGCCGCCTTGGTCTCCTGCCGCCGCCGAGGGGACATCCTACGCCTTCGAATACGTCCTCGGCGGCCTCCCGTTTTTAGTCACCGTCACCGACCTCCTCAAAGGACGCACAGCACAACAGGACCTCCTCTGGGTCCCTCGACTCTGCGAAGGCAGCGCTGGCGCCCCACCGCCACAAGCCATCTTCGAACACAACCTATTCGGCACACTTCCACACCTCGCACGCAATCCTCCATTTGCACAACTCGCACACTTCCCCGGCATCGGTATGGAGGGCGGAAGACCCAACATCAACATGACAGGGGGAGGACTCAACATAACGAACATGGGCTCCAGACCGGACGGTTATCCGGACGGAGGATACCCGACAGAACTGGACTATTCAGACGCACCGAACTTCCTACACAAAACAAACCGCCATGGCTGCGACCGCCATGGCTGCGACCCACCGCACAGACGTAGCTACCCGTCCCCTGGGTCCCCCGCGCCCGCTACGCCCGGGCCGTATCACAGCCGTGGAGACTTCGGCGCTAACAGCTCGGCCACACGACCCTCGAGCCACAGGTCTACCACTGATGACCTCCAGCTAGCCACGCCAGAGGACATGGAACCTCTCACTGGTGCCAGCCAGAACAGCCTCGGTGCTGACTATCAAGCAGTAAGTCTTCAACGAGTGCATGGACCGCACGCGCCGGCTGGGGTGACACTCAGCCAGCTGATGTGGTGTCACGCTAGGGGATTAGGTGGGTACAGACACACAACGAGAGAGACCACATACGGGAGAGACCGGGGCCACATACGGGGGGGACCACATACGGGAGAGACCGGGACCACGTACGGGAGAGACCGGGACCACGTACGGACAGAGACCTTTGTTGCAGGCGTTGCGCTGTTTAGAACCGTTGTCGAGCGGGTTGGAAGTCGATTTAGACGCTGTGAATCGCGTGTTGTCGGAAACGCGATTCGGAAAGAATTTGGCGGTGGCACGGAAGAGCAAGCGAATCCGGATCACAGCCTGGCACCACGAAGAGAGTGCTCGATTGGTGCAATTTCGGCAGCCGATAAGGACTTTTTTCTCCCCCCTCCAGTCACCACCTATTAGTACTGACAAATTACATGTTCAGGTAAGGCCCCCCCCCCCCCTTGCACGACCGACTGGCCCCTTTACATGACCCTTTGATCTGTGACCGACCCAAGGCTTGGATGGTCGGTTCGATTGCGGGCTTATCCCCGACGTGTGTTCTGTCCATCCTATTTTGTTCCTACCCTATGTTGACTGGTTGGTTTGGTAGCCTTCTGAGTTCTGTGAAGCGGCGAATGAGTAGTCGGGAGCACGCGGCGGTTGCCGAGAGTGTTGTGACGGGGCCGGTGGCAGAGAGTGTCGGTACTTCAGCGCTTGGTTCTTCGACACTGGGCCCATCCTCGGCGACGGGGCGGATGGGACCAAGTGTGGTAGCATTGCCGGGTCCGCAGTCGGGGAAGTTGGACCGGCAGGTGTTTGACGGAGGTGGCAAGGGGTTGTTTCGGGCATTATCGTCGCCTAGTGAATTCTCTGCGTTGCCAGCGCTGAAAGAGGTGAGTGGTTTGGAGGCATGGAAGTTATTCCGTGTGAAGGTGAATTTGTGCGGCAGTGTCGTGTTCAACTTTGGGGAGTGTATAATGCGACCACGTGGCGTCATGTTGTGCACTAGTTACCCAGTGGTGTATGAGCTGTACAACCAAGAGATTCAAGCGAAACATGCCACGTTGCAGGAAGTACTGCAATTCATCGGGGACAATCGTCAGGCGGGAGCATCTTTGGACGCCGTAGCGGAAGAGGTGGTTCATATGGCGGCCAACAACATATTCCGACCTCTACCACCCACCTCGTCCGCAGCTGTGGCCGCTGCAGCCCTCCAGACTTTGGTCGAGGACGACCTGGACTGCGCCCTGGATCCAGTCTACGTGGCTGGCTGGCTCCACCTACAACTGGTCTACGAGATTTTTCTCACACTCATTGTTAGCCCCTGTCTAGGCAGCAAAACCTCCAAACGACTAGTGGACCAAAACTTCATGCTGAGGCTACTAGCTCTATTCTCCAGCGAAGACGTCCGGGAACGAGAGTATCTCAAAACCATCACCCATCGTCTTTATGGCAAGGTCACACTTATGCGCAGCTTCATACGCAAAAGCATCGAGAACATATTCGTACTATACATCGAAGACCACTTCGTCAAATCCGGCGTCTCCGAACTACTGGAAATACTCGGATCTATCATCAACGGCTTCGCCCAACCTCTCAAAGATGAACACTTACAATTCCTACATCGGTGCATGATACCTTTACATAAGGCTAAAAATGTCATTGCCTTCCATCAACAACTCAGCTACTGTATGGTACAATATGTCGAAAAAGATTGTAGACTCGCCACACCCATCATTCTTGGCATACTCAAATACTGGCCCATCAGCAATACTCCCAAGGAAGTACTCTTCATCAACGAAATCGAAGATATTCTAGACGTAGTCACACCTCCTCAAGACATACTACTACCTCTCTTCAAAAAACTCAGCCAATGCATCAAATCACCCCACTTCCAAATCTCAGAACGAACTCTCTTCCTTTGGAACAATCCCAAAATCATCAAACTTGTCAACCAGAACAAGCAAGCACTCTACCCCATCGTTATTGCTGCACTTCAGAATAACACCCAATCACACTGGAACTTGTAAGCCCTCCCTCCCAAAATCTCTCCATTCTCCTGCAGTACCGTTCATTCTCTTTCATTCAATGTCAGTAAGCTCCTAGCCGAGGCAGATCCTCGACTTTATGCCCAATGCACTGAAGAACTAACTTCCATCGAAGAGTAAGCAATCCCTCCCCCTTCACAATCAATATCTGCCCTGCTCTGCTTTTCAAATTTTGTTCCTGTAGACCGGCGGAATGCCGGCGACGTGACGATGACCGCTGGAAGTTGTTCTTTGAGTGTCGATAACCAACATTTTTTTTCAAACCGGTGAAGAAAAAATGCGCGCACACGTGTGTGCGCAAACGCGCGCGATAGAAAGAACGCCTGCTTGCATTATAAAAGACCTGTTGTTGTTTGGGCAGCATCAAAGGACCCTTTGGGCACCAGACCCACGGATTATAAGGCGCTGGTGGAGCGCCAAGTCAATGGATCAGATCACCGTCAGTTGCGAACGATCGTTGATCTTCCAGCTTGGCGGCCAAGACCACAAATGTGTCTATCTTTCTTCTGCGGTCATTATCGCCTCCTCCATCTTTGACCTTCTTGTTGGCCGTGCTCTGTGGCTTGCGTCACAAAGTACCACCTGCTTGTTCCTGACGGCAGTGGGACACCGTTCTTGGAGCATTGTTCGTTCTGGTAAGGGTTGTCGACCTACATGGCAATGTGGTTATATATCGAATAGCGACTGTATTCTGCTAAGTGCGACAGCAGAGTTGCGTCTTAGGATATCTTTGAGAGTATTGGCAACGCATCTGCTGGTGGGTCTCTTTTTATGATCGTAGACCAATGTCCGCTTGATCAGGTCCACTAGTTCGTGATCCATTTCGTGGAAGCGATCGCTAAAGATCTCGCTGTAGCTGTCGGTGCATACCGCGCAGAATATCTGCCCCTTGGTCATGCCGGGGTAGGAACCTGTCCGCGTCAGCGCTTCCCAAAAGGAAACCCCGAAGGAGAACACGTCCGACGCCGGCCAAAAGCCTTCACCTTTCAAGACCTCGGGAGCGGCGTAATACATATTACCAAATGAAGACAAGTACACCGGATTCATTCCGCGATAGTGAGCAGCCATTCCAAAATCGGACAACTGCAAAACAGCAAGTTACAATGCAACAACGCAACAACGCCAATCCAAGGTGTAGTCAAGGCAAGGTGGTGGGGACAAGACAAGGTCGTGACACAGGTCCGAGACTCACCTTAGCGACGCCTTCCGCGTCGACCAGAAAATTAGAGGGTTTGATGTCCCTGTGGACGTAGCCCGTCTCGTGGAGTAGCGCCAGACCTTCCGCCACGTCCGCAAAATGATGCACCAGCTGCTTCCGACTCGGCACCGTCTCCAGCGCCGCGCCTGACGTCGAGGTATGCGGCATCACTGCGTCGTGGATTGCGCCGCGCTGACAGTACTCCAAGACCAGTCCCGTAATCGAACCGCCCACTTGACCAAAACACCTACAGACCATTAATGGGGGGAACCAGAGGGGGAGTACACGAGAGGAGAGGGGCGGCTTACCTGAGAAGATAGGGGCTAAGGGGCAGGCTCTGGAGAACGAGGAGCTCCCTGTCGCGGGCGCGTTCCCCGGAGCTGCGGGGACAAAAGAGAGCACTCGCAGGACAGGCGTTAGCGCCCGGTCGAAGGACGGGTTCGGGCGAGTTCAGCACGATCGCGGGCAGCTTGTCCGAGTTGCCTCTGATCCAGCGCCTGAATGACTTGAGTGTGCCCGCCACCCGATCGGTCAGTCCCGCCGCGACCGACTTATCGGACCCGGCCGCGACCGATCCTGTTGCCGCAGATCCAGCACCTGTGCTTTCACTGGCACTCCGGTCACGCGGCGACGAAGGCCGTAACGTCCCCGACGAGGCCGCCGGACTGCCACTCCGGACCAGACTGCCCACAGCCAACACGGACCCACGATCGGGACCCGCGGTCGGGGGTTGCGGTCCGAATACTCCGACAGCCTCATCCGCACCTCTTCGCCCGTCGATGTCACCCAACCCTGCAACACCACGCGCAACGTCCTTTGGACTAAGCCTGTTTGGACTAAGTCCACGAGTAGTGACCCCGCGCGGGGTTATTACCTGACTGGTTTGGCTGAGGCAAGTTTCAGTGGGAGAAGCACGACTGAGACACGCTCCCCCAAGGGACGCTCGGCTGAGAGGTGCTTGAGTGGGAGAAGCTCGGCTAAGGGACGTTCGGCTGAGAGAAGCTTGAACTGGAGATGCTCGGCTGCAAGAGGTTCGACTGAGAGAAGCCCGGGAGGGAGTATGGCTTGGAATTTTGTTGATGTTTTCGTGGGGTGTGTCCAGCAAGGAACCGTTGACCTCGTTCGGTCCGCCAAGCAAGGAACCGGTCAAGGGACCGGCTGCACACGGTAGAGGGCCGCACGGCACAGCGGTTTTGTTTTTGTAGTGGGGGAAGCATTTGATGGCGACGTCGTGCTGGCCTTCGAGGCAAGCTTGGTAGACCACAGCGTGTCCTCCGACGCCGAGTTTTTTCTTGAGCATGAAGTCGGGCGACTGAAAGACTTCGCAATCGCGGGGTGTACGGGTAGGTCCAAGTGGGAAAAGCATATCGGTGTCATCAGTGGCAATAACAAGAGTCCGGAAAGCAGCCAAAAGGAACTCGAGCTTGTGCTCCTCCGTCACACACAAAACGGCTTCCAACTCTTCGCGAGTCAGATGCAACAAATCTACACCACACAAACCAGACCGCACCACCGACAACGCCACATCCGGCAAGCCCACCGCCGAAAGAAACCGAGCCAGGTCCTCGCTACTCCAAGTCCATGTTACCAGACCGCGCAATCGCTTCCCACCGAACCCGAACCAACTTGCCACACGCCTCCGGTGTTCTTCCAACAGACGGCCCCGACCCCCCACAGGTCCACACCCAGCAGGTCCACACCCGGGAGGCCCCGACCACACTGGCGGCGGTCCTCCTGACCATGGTGGTCCGGAAGGCCCCGACCACGGTGGCCCGGAAGG